ATTATAGTGGTAATTCAGTACCGACGACGGTGGAAACAAATTATGGCAATAAAATATAATAATAATTACGTTTATTTTCGAAATGGAAAACAATTTGAATGTATTTTTTTTTTATATACCTAATATAATATCAAATAGAATCACGAATGTTTAGAATAATCAGCCGGGCCGATGAGATAATAACAAAAAGAAGAAGTGATTATTCGAGAGTATCGCAAAAGTGTACGATAATAAAAACCCAAAATCAGTAGTGGGCTGGCCATCAAATCAGACATGAAGGACTGTTGAAATCGATTGTAAATAAAGAGAGGCACGCTGGAGGGAAGAATCAAATCAATAGACGCGATTCGTGTTTAATATTGGAATAAGTTCTGTCTATTGAACGGTGTCCATTTTTTTTCCGTTGCGTATTCGGTTCAAATTGTACTCGCTAAGTGCTGCAGATTATACTGATTTGAGGTAATTGCCAGTGTGTTTGATTATACGCAAAATTATCACAGTGATTGTATCTGATTCTGATGACTAAGTCATCGTAACTTCACATAATAAGTAAAGGACCTGTAGCGATCGTGATTGAAATTCGAACTAATACGGTCTCTGCATAGATCGATATTATGATATTACGATATTATGCACTATCGCATAGTGCATAATATATAGTCAGTCCATACAGTGTGTACAGAAAACAGTGTATGTTATGTTCACGATTCGCGTACGCTGCGAAAGAAAGTCTGAGTAATGAGTATAAAAGTGTTGTTTATTCACATATAAACTTACTTCGAAATGGTATTATTATTACACGTAGTTAAATTCTACTCGTTTATACGTGATTATTACATAACAAGTAAAAATAAAACAAATACATTTAACCTCTTTGCGGCACGTTTTAAATTAAATCAATCGAAACCAAATTGCTTGCGTGTTATTTATAACTATCGAAGAACAATCTATTAAGGGGCGTTCCGGTAATAGTTCGAAAAAAAAAATAAAAAAAAAATTGACCTCTATAAATAAGGACCGCCCTGTTATACGCTAAACAAGAGTTGATAACAATAAGACGAGTGAAAGCGATAAGAATATCCGCGTTCTACAGTGACAATTCGCGTAATAGGTATCCGGTCGACGGTCATCCAGAGCTTTCGTCGTCGAAACCATTGTCGTGTGAAAACAAAAAAAAAAAAAAAAAGCGTTTCTCGAAATAGCTTGTCCTCCTCGTCACCACCGCCGTCGGCCATGTTGTTTATGTTTTTATTTTTCGGATTCCGAAGACGAAAGCTGCCACGCAGCAGCAGCAACAGCAGCGGCAGCAGCCGGGCAACCGGTCGTAGTAAATCACGCGCCGCGGCCAACACAATTAATTGTTCGGCATTATCATTATAATAATAATATTATTATTATTACTGACTCCGTGTGAGTGTGTGTGTGTGTATATATATAGGTATGTATTTTATCACCGTTCACGATCGAATCTCCCCGGAGAACGATTCGAATCCGTCAAAAACAATATGTATGTATGTACGTATATATATATATGTGTGTGTGTGTGTGTGTGTATACGGAGGCGGGCAAAACGGGACCGGACGGGTGGGGGTCGAGCTCTCTCACGCACTAAACGCACTAAAAGAATATAATTTATAGGTCCACTATAAATATACGATCTATGTATGTGTGTGTGTGTGTGTGTGGAAAGGGAGTGTACACGCAGAGCAGACACAGACGTATCTATATACGTATACGCGCGGTACACGCGCGGACATATGGAAGAAAAAACGACAGCGACGGCCCGGGAGAAAGAAGAAGACGCTCGCGCGGGACGAACGAGTGAGTTGACGCGCTCGTGGAGTAGGTACAGGAGAAATAAGACGGGGAACAAAAAAAACAATTTATGTACGTTATAATATAATAATATACGGCCGTAGAGAGGTCGGGGCCCCGTATACCCGTGGAATTCCAAAAAGTCTGATAAATCATCAACGGATGTGACACACACGCGGTCTATACACACACGATATAAAATAATAATATTATATCCGTGTGTGTATGCGTGTGTCTGTGTCTGTGCGCGCGTCTTGTCCCCGCGCTGACGGTTTCCAATTAACCGAAAGCACCTGAAATATACGACCGGCCGTCAGGCGCGCCATCGTAGTCCGGTGACTGTTGTTATTATTATTATTACATTACAAGAGCGGTATTTTTCTCCGTTTCCCTTCCCCTCCCCATCTCTTTTAATTTCATAATCCCGGTGTACATATACGGTGCGTGCGTTTGTCGCCCGCTCGCACACGTGTTAGTTTATTATATAGACGTGGTTTATGACCGTATTTTTAGACAATAGTGCGATTTTAGACACGCAGACGATAATTTAGCCGAACAGAGTTTCGGTACAGTCGGCATGTCGCGTATTATATAGTCCGGTGCTCGAATCGGTAAACTAAAAAAAAGAGGGATTGTACGCGTGACTTAAACGAAATTAGCGTCCCTTGCGGTGGTTCAACGGGCATGTACTACTAAAGTAACAAGATCAAAATGCGCAAGTTGCTCTCGACCTAATGCACCAGTTGCCCTCGGCGTATTATATTATTATACACGACCACAATGGCGCATCTGTCGTGAAATAGGGGAGGTAAATATGTGTCAACTCGACGTCGCGGACGCGACTGTAATAAAATAATAGCACTAAATAACGAACAGATTACATAATAAACGAACAAATACAGTATTTTCAACGATAATATTAAGTAGCGTAGTAGCATAAATTGTAATTTGTCGAAAAATAATTTTAAATAAAAAAAAAAAAAAAAATGATACTTATTGATGACGGGCGTGAAGAAGGGAAGTAGGAATGGAGGTTAATATATTAGAACTATAATTAATCTATTATGTCTGTACTTGACGATAAAACACGGCTTGGTAAAAACGATTCTGAGCACAGTATTAGTCGTATATTTTTCCTTGTTACAAAAATAACCCAGAAATAAAAAAAATTCTCAATTTTCTTCATTTCAAAAAGAAAACCAAAAAATGATAATCAAATAACTGAAATAACGTAAACAATCGCTCGGAATTGGGTCGTTATTTAAAATATACGTCCGTCCGGCACCGGTTAAAACGCGTCATTATAATATTATATACGAAACGAGATTGATTGATAATTACCAGAGCTCGTATTAGAAGATCGACAGCGTGTCGTCGTATAAATATGTTAGCGTGTCTACTTGTAATTTTACACCCGGTATAATACCCACAGCAATAATATTAACTTTCCCGATTGATTTACGAAAAGTAAAAATAAACTCTGAGCCTATTACCCACCTATTTCTGTACAGCGATTGCAGTCATCTTGTCTTGTGCGTGTGTCCGGTCCTGATTTTAGATTTCATGTGAACTGAAGAAGCCATATTCATAAATAGCCATAATAAGATAAATTATCCGTTTAATCGTTTCTGTCCGTCCTAACCTATTCGTTTTATTTATGTAAGTAGAGACGTGTTTCTTCTCTATTACAAGAATCATTGTTTTGGTGATCGTAAATGCTCCGAATTTATCCCGCGTGTACCTTACAAAAATATGAGAAATTTCCGCTCGGCGGTAATAAAACATTAAAAACAAAATATTTTAATTTTTTAAATTTCTCAACAATTTGTGCTTAAGGATTTTTTCCTTAGAAAACACTTTTTCGGATGGTTAAAATTCAGGTTCATATCGTACCTTAAGAGATTCTGATTTTTTGACCGGTGGTGCTTTATTTGAAAAATTGTTTAGATTATCAATAGTTTTTCTAAAAAAAATTGAAAAAAACAAATGATAAATCAGTTTCTGGTTTTGTTGATTTTTGGATTACCTTGAGTAAAAAAAGAAGGAAAACACTAACTATAATAGTTATTCGAGCTCCGTCCTGAATCGTTTTTCAGTTGTAATCACTGTAAATCAATATCAAAATAAATTTAATTACTATACACCGTTAACTTTAAAACTAGTTGAATAAACTTTAACGCTCGCATAATATCAATAATTTTTACCACGGTCTGTTTCCATTTGTGTCGATTAATTTTAGTTAATTTTAGTCTGAGTGGATCGAAGAAGCTTATTATGATTTTATAATGATGTATAATTTTTTTTTAATCTGTGAACAACTTTTCTACCAGAAATATTGCTCCGATTTACAAATGTAACACTTTTAAATGTTTAAGGCATATGTAATTATTTTACTATAATATGTCATATATATATATCGTTGACAAAGCAACACTATCAACTGAACTCCACTCAAAATCGATTTTTCATTAGCAATGGTTAATCGTTGCTGACAGATATACATCAAATTCTCGCCTATATCCTATCTTCCCAACTTCTCAACTACAACAGTAACTGCACCCGTCCTCATTAGCCTATAGGACAGCTTTTTAAATTGCTTTAACTTTTTCAATTTTGTTATTTGTGATTAAAGTTCAATCTATAATCTTCAACCTAAACGCCACGATTTATGTTCTAAGTAACGTTATATGGCTATGCTGTGCGTTAGTAAGACGGAGACAGCACATGCGGGTATGACATCCACATAAACAAAAGTTGTACATATACCCACTTCTCAAATATTTATAATTTGTTCTTTGAAATAATTACTTTATAGCATAGTGCATTAAAGCAAATTACCCTATACTTAAAACGTTTGCGTTCTTTAAAATTTGTACGTAAAAAATTTGTTGCCAAAACAAGCAGCGTTTGGATTTATTCATCCTAAATCATTCAGCACTAGTCATTTTAAACATTTCAATAACCGTTTTAAATTTATAACTTTTAACCTCTTATGTATGACTGGCTACAATTATATTATCAAAATAGTTACAATATGTTTTGTTCTGTCTGCACATTTTAAGTCATTTACTAAAATATATTACATTTTGTTTAAAATTCAATATAAGAATAAAAAAAAAATTGTTTTATGTTTATATTAATGGATAAACAATTAACATGGACCATAGGTCAAACATTATAGGTAATTAATAAAGTTGACATGCAGTTACGATGAGCGTTTGTAATCGAGAAGTTTCAACGCCATTAGATTTAAAGCTTATTTTATGCAATGAGCTCATGACCTGCTCCTTATCCACACCATTAGAAATAGCATAACGCAAATATGCAAAACCTCTTGGGCCTTTCCAAGTGATATGTCTAGAAAAAATTAAATATTTTATTACGGTTTTTATACGAAGGACGAATTAATATAATTCGAATCTTACAATGGTTTAATTCCACGCTCTGCTAGAGCAGCTTTCAAATCCCGCACTCTGACGTTATTCGGGATGTTTTCAATTTTAAATACAAATGTATCGTCGCAGTATGATCTCGAATAATTTGGTTTGTTATTACAATTATAATATCCATGGCAAGTCTCGTTGAAACAAGATCTAGGTTCTTGTACATAGTTATTTTTCTATAAATTAAGCATTTTTTAGTTTAAATGCTAATATTAAATATAGTTTAAAATACAATTATATTTACTTCGTCAACAGTTTGGCGAGGATATCTATTAAAATTTCGATGTGGTCGAAAAATCCTGGAATCGTTGTAAACATCTTGACAATACGATCCATTAGATAGATTATTATTACTACGAGACTGCTGAGCCTTTGATTTCGTTTGACATCTATTGGGGATGTAGCGGATTTGTGGGTCCAAATTAAATCTGACCCGTCTTTTAGGTTCAATGTCGCTATCACATTTTTTCAAAATAGATTTTAATGGTTTTTCTGAAAAAACTTTTTGATTTTCAGCAAGATAAATTGATTTAATACTTCCATCAAAATTCGAACATTCATCAAACATTTTCAGGCTTTTTGATGAGCCAATTGTAGTATTGAAATGCTCCATGCTTCCAAAAACTATAAATTGTTAAACTATTTGTTAACTATAAGACGTATTTTTTATAAACTTTGATCCTCGTTAGAAAAAATTAATGCACATCTAATAACACAAAATATTATTTGAAAAGTTTATTTTCAATGTTTTAAATGCGTGTAATAGCTATCGTATACAAATGAAAATAAGTAAATAAATAATATTTTCATATTCATGCCAACGGAAATAACGACCAATTTATTTTTTAAGGTCATATAATATGTTAATAATAATAATTATTATTATTTATTTTAAGTATAAAACTTAACGAAATTATGAAAAATTACTAAGGTACAATATTATAGAATCAAATATTAAATTAATCATACCATGAATTACATACCTATCTATTTTAAGAAAAACTTTCTTTAAATCGTGAATATTTCGATGTGTTTTTTCTTAAATAATGTCAATTTTATATCTAATAGTTTATATTTAAATAATTATTTTACGCTATTTTATAATATAAATTAGGTACTTGGTGCATTGCAAAGGGACGGGCCTTACAGCATTTTACGGTTTAGGTTTTTAAAAGTACTATTTCTCATTTATTTTGAAAACGCCTTGGAAAATCAAAAAACGACCTCTCTAATACATTAATTTTCTTTTTTTTTTCTTTCTGCAAACAAATTTTCGAAAATAAAATTTACTTTGATGTATCAAGTAGCATCTTTTTTAATTGAATTACAAGTTTTATCTAGTTGGTGGAATAGAGTGGTCGATGTTTGGAGTTGAAAAAGTGAGTTTAATTATGTATAATAATTTCGTTAATGATTCGTTTTTTTTATTGCATTTCTGAATCATAACAAACTGGAAGATATTTAGTGCGACTGGGACATTTTATCCAAAAAAAATTGCATCAAGTCCCTATACATTGAATTATACGAGGACAAGTTGAAAAATAATGTACATATGCCTGTAGAATGCGAACGAAACGAAATAGCAAGATGTAATGATAAATAAAATAAAATTACATGTCCTTAACTTCAAAACCAGATACTTATTTTTCAACTTAATCACCTCGAAGTCCAACAAATATATTTCAGCGTATAACAAGTTTTCCTATCCCATGACTAAAAAATGTTTTCGATTTTTCTCAAATTACGGACGTGACCGCTGCCTTCGCCCAATTAGCCGAGGTGTTATGGTTACGTTTGAGTTCTCTCTGAAGTACATATAAAGAATATAAATTGCATGGTGCAATATGGAGGGAGTAAGGAGGTTATGTAATTGCTTCAAACTTTAAATTTCCTAGGACCTCTTCAACTATTTATTAAATTCTTCGTCTCTTCAGTAGCAGTAACCTAAGTACCAAGATAGACGTCAGACTACCTCTAACCCAAAAAACTTGACATCGGATGTGTTTTAAATCGTAACTCGTCATTCCAGGTAAGTCACTGAGCTCCACCTATCTAAACCCAAGAGTGAAATATCTCGTCAATTGGTTGACGATGATTAAAAATGTTTATGCTGACATATATTTGAACTAAAACTATCTGTGAAATTTTTAAAATAGGTTACTAAAGTTTTATTTAAAAATTTGATACTTTTGTCTGCACATCAAAGGACATTTCGACGATTTTAAGGGCATTGTATAAAAACGAAACAATTACAACAAAACGTCTATACTATTATAATGCCGTGTGAACATGTATGGATAAGTTCATGAATTCTGTTGGTGATGGTGACCGTAGTGTTGGGGATGTTGAGCGTGGTGTTCGTAATAGTCGTGCGCGTTGAAACCGTTATGCTTGGCGGCCGTGTACGAATGCGGTCGTCTGGCTGGAAAAAGCTGTAGCCGCTGTACACGTCGTCTTCATGTCGTTTCTTCCATTAGTTTTTCACGTCCCATGAGTGCGGATAAAAAACGGCTTTCAAAACATGTATAACCGAACTCTGCTCAGAATCGTTTTTCGTTAGCAATGATTAATATTTGCGTATAAATATACATTAAATTCACACCTATGGGAACCTAACCTAACAAACCTAATTTGTCGTTATTTAAAAACCGCGTAAAGATTATTATTATAGGTAGGTTTTTTATAGATTGGGGTTAGGTTCGATTTTCGCGATTCCGCGGTGCTTAAAAACGTCGAATCGTCTACTCAAATAACCAAGTAATATATTATTATTATACTTTACGCGCCAAGTTATAATATATTATTATTATTTTTGTGCGCCGAACACTCCGCTGATCTTATATACACGTTCGCTTGACGTGTTTAATTAATTTGATTATGTATACGTAGTTACACGGTGAAATTTATTAGAGTTAAACAGCTGGCAGTATAAAATCAACCGAGTTTCAATTAAATTGGCATGTTTATGATTTTAACTAAAACTATACGCGTCGTTGTTTAACGGTATAATTAATATTTAGTATCGTTTTCCGGCAAAACCGTTGAACTATGTACATTTTAATAAGACCAAAACTATTAGGTGTATTACGTAAAAAAAAAAAAAAAAAAAAATGGAAAAAAGAGGAAAATATTATACGCGTACTTCGCGTACATAAATTTCAATATCGTATTGAACTATTTGACTATATGCTATTATTTATCTGTTTACGTATATAATATGACACTCGTGTGTGATACTCAAGAAATGACAATATATTATATATTATATTGGACTAAAATAACTATGGAATAGGGTATAAAACATTAAAGAAAATATGTTCAATAACAGATATATACTATAATATGGCTTAAGGTAGCGTAAATATATTTTGAGATCTAAAAACGGCACTAACATAAAGAAATGAATGAAAATATTATAAACGCAGCTATTCAGTGCACTATTATTGTCAACACTTTGAATCGGAGGAACTCGAAGTGAGTGGCTAGAGAGCCATTTAACCGCCTCGGGTATACACCCGTGCGTCTATGCTACCCCGCCACCAAACCTGGTGTTCTGGCATTCACCGAAAATGCGTCGATAGTCTGTTTTTCCACGCATTCTATATGAGTAGAGAGCCGATCATATCTCCTTTACCGTGCTTCTTGCTAGATAGTTGCACTTGCCTGTCTTTGTATTTATGCTATTTAGAGTAGGCCGTCGAGCTCGATTGAAGTCAGAGTTTGATTTTGATTCTACTAGCAGGGACGCTAATGAGGTATTACCTATATTTCCTCTGTAATCTCGTTTCCAAGACACTAAGTCTCAGATATGGTGTTTCCGGACTTCAGTATTTTTGGTGGGTGATCTAATGCATTTATCGGTAGATCAAGGCAACGCGACTCAATCTTAGTAATATTACTTTTATTGAGCTATAGTCTGTGTGTAAATATATAGGGACTATGATTGAGAATACCACTTTTACTATTGGGTCAATCTTACTGAGCTGAGATATTCTCCATGGAGCAGTTCAGCTGAACATTGTCTTTCTTGCATAAATAGTACCGATGTATGAAGCATGATTTTGCAGCCCTAGCTAAGACCATGAGATTTGACGATGATATTTGTACAGCTTATTTTCTATAATCTCCGAAAGTTTAAAAGTTAACGTTTTGTACGAAGTTTATTTATTTAATTTTGCTATTTTCAAATACTATATTGAATTCTCTTCTGGCTTCCCAGTATTTTAGATGGATGATTACTTATTCGCATTCAGAGTGAGATACTATTTTTCAAAATGCTTTTATAATACAAGCTAGTAGGCGTTTAGTGTGTTTTCTATCTTCTTAAGTGTCGTTATAAACCATAAAGCCAATTCATCCACATGCATCAATTTCCTGGATACTGTTTCAATCAAACCCGTTGTATAAACATTGAAGAGCATTATACGAAATCAAAAAATGCCCGCTTTCATCTTCTGTCCTTACCACCGAGCATAGCTCTAAACAGAGCCTTCGGAAGGAAAAAACGAACTCGGCATTCACCTAAAGCCTCACGCTTTGTGGAAAAAGTGTTGTTTTATGTTAAAAAAATCATTGACAGGGATATACCCTAGAGAGGATTAAGTGGGCTCTTCAGCTCTACTAATGGTCGTGTTAAATACAAAATACCGTATAAACTATTCAGCATTGGAAAATTATCGTTATTTTTACAAAATAAAGTTTGATTTATGTTGGCTTTTTACGCAAATCTACAATTTTGTTCCGATCTGGATGAAAATTTGCACAATTGATCTTCAAAACAGGAAAAGGTCACTGTATTTTTTTATTCCGAAGTTCAACCTTAAAGAGTATTGATATTTTTGAAAGGAAAATTCAATCTTTTTTGTTAATTTATGGGTTGGATTGACCTTAGTGACAAGCATAAAAAATAGTAACAGTTTTATTTTATCAAAACGCGATGTTTAACTATTATATTATCTTAAATTTAATTAAAAAAGTAATGAATAGTAAATTGGTGTTTTTTTTTTTTGCAACTTCCATTTAAAAATATGTTTAAATAATAACTTTTGATACCAAGAAAAGTGGAGAGAAAATGTATGTTTTCGATTTTCAACATTGATTTATATAAGATGTTTTTAGAGCCCTCCGGAATATTTCGCTTTGGGTCTCGTAAAAACTTGTCGCCAGCACTGACTAAATATCGTCGGTTTGGTAGCATTTTCTCGAGTAGCAGTAACGTGAATTTTAATTTGATAATTTCAATCACGTTAAGAAGTAGCGCCCTCTTTTCGAGACCGCGTCCTATACAAAATATAAGCCCCGAGAGAACCGCGCCGGATTTAATTTCCTGCAGTGAACATTCATAATGGCATGGGTGCTCGGCGATAATTTTATTTTAAAATTCACATATAATTTCTATGTGAAATATAATTATCTAATGCAGTTAAAAATACGATTTTTTTTTTTTTTTTTTATCAAGTCTGTTCGCGACGACGATTTATGAATTATTTTTATACATGTTTTGTATAAAATCAGTTCGATTCTATGAGAATATATACATATTTATATAGTTTCATCAAGTATAGTATATAATATAGAAATAATAGTAGTTTCGTTTTCTGGCTTTTCTTGTTT